CTACTACACCGACACTCGGAAATGGAAAATGTGTACTGGGGTTTCCACCTAGTGGGGTTCTGCAGCCAGACGATAAGGAAGGGTGGGGGTGAGAATGAGTCGATGATCGTGGTAACGTTGATGACGACGACAAACCTCTGGCGTAGTACGCGCCGGACACTGTCTGATGTCCATTCCCGTGACAAGTTGTCGCAGAAGTCGACTGTTGTTTCCTGGGAGGGACAGGAGGAGGCTTGACGGTAAACGACGAAGGAGGACAAGAGTGTTTCCGGTTTGGCTCCAGTGTGGGAACGCCTTCATATGAAGCGGAAAGCCGCATTGATGAATCCACGACGTCGACAACATGTTTTGGCTGCTCACCTGATTAAAACAAGTTATTATCATCCCATAAATGTGAGAAAATCAAATTCACTCTTTCCAAAGCAACACATAATTGACGTTTTACAGGTGTCACATGAAAGCTTTGAAAGGCAGAAAAGTTAAAGCGGTCGATATATGTGAATTTACAGCAACTGATATATTTGAAAAACTATGAAAAAATAGAGGTACAGCTACAGATCAAGCGTTAGTTTTACTGCGAATTAATGTACTTCTTGATATACTCACGCCAGAAGAACCAATATTCTTGATTTTTTTTGCGAAAGCAAATAAGCAGATCGACTTTTTAAACGTCCCGTCATGACGAAGGTCAAGGTTCCGCTTAAGGAATGAAGACGATACCAGTTGCTTCGATGCACTGCCACTGCAAGGCACAATGAATCTGTGCCTTATATATAACCAACAGAGCACAGGGTAACTGCTAGAGAATAATTGGTGGCCACTGATGTATCGGATATGCTCATAAAGGGACGAAAAATTAGAAGTATGTTCCTCCATTCAAAATACTACGACTGCCAGCACAAACCTACAAAACATCCTATCGTCGTGTGACCGCGTTTTGGTTGATACTGATTCAAGTAAAAGAAACGCTAAAATCAACCGTGACGATAAAAACATAACGAAGTTTATTGAAAACAGCTGCGTTTTTGATACACGATCTGTGAAATGCATTCAGTTACCATAGTTTTACAACAAATAATAATTTATTAGAGTTAAACGCA